TGGTACATGTAGAGGTTTATCAAGAACGTTTGCCTGCTAGCATAAGTTATACCTAGTTGAGGAGTTGGTAATTGCGTCAAGTCCGGGGTACAATGTTTTTCCCGTTATACTTGGATGAATGTAGTAAACTTTAATGCTGTGCTGCAAGGCGGGCCTTAAATGTTACATTGGAGACAGAAGAAAGCAAGGACAACTTATTGCCGTGATTTGGGCACACATTTACGGCGCAAATGAAGTCTTGACGTCCCGAGACTTCTCATCTGGTGGGAGAAGACACTAAGTAAGGCTGAGTACATGTTATCAAGGGGAAGTGGAGGGGATTGGGCTTTCGCTTGGTTCTAAGGCCAGTCCATGAGAACAACATCAGGATAAATGCCAAAAAAGCCACCGCTTGTCATACAGGTAGTCAAACAATGTATTACAGAGGCAAATATGCTAAGGGTTCATAAATGTCTGATGGCATTGACACTCGCGTATTCTTCAGGCTAGCTAATAACACCAAAAGCGACAACTAATGTGAAGCTTATCGTACGTTCGTAAAGATGGTAACTGCAATACTTTGTTCATGTGGCCACCTAAGGCCTGGAGATTACTTTGTACTCATACTCTTGTACGCGTGAACTGGCCTTCGGATCGTTCTAAGGCTCTGTCCTCCTTCTCCTCTTAGAATGCATGTTTTTATTTCCCAACATGATGCCTTATCTACTTGGGAGAGATCCGTAAATGCTACATTAGTGAAACCGTCCCCACATGGAGCCATGCTAAATTACACACTTCCTTCTATGAATATGATTTTAGACGGATTTATGGTCTAGACCTAAACACAAATTGATTAACAAAGTCCACGATTCCAAGTTAGTTTCCAAGCTTTGAGATCAAGTACTCACACCAAGTCACGCCATGGAAATTAATGACTGGGGCAGCTGTCTCAGGAGGACTTTAGTTCAGCTTTAAACACGTTGTAATAGTTGCCATAGCTGGTTAGGTGTTAAAAGCGCCGCCACATAATATTCTACTTGTCCGCCTGCCGAAAGCAGCAGTAGCAGGCACTAGAATGCCCGAGTTGCTTCTGAAGGTGGGATGAATCCGAGTCACGAAAGAAGCAGTTGCATCTCACCTCATCAAAGCATATTCATCCCACCCAAATTTCTTAAGACTTTATGCTAGCAAT